TCCCAAAGTGTAGGTAATCACTATTTTGTTTATTTTAGATGAAATGTAGCTGTTCCAGATTTCTTTTTAGTGTAATTCTAGTTATGTATTTGTATGTATATGTACATATATTGCTTTCTGAGAATGAATAAAACTAATGTCCATATTTTTTCTTGAAAAATCTTTTTTCCAGCAATATTCACAACCTCAGCAGGCCTTGTATAGTGTGCAACAACAGGTTAGTTTGTATTTTCCATGTTAAAAACTGATTTTCTAAAAGTCGTTTGTTCCAACTAAGTTTATATAGATTTTATTTCCCATCAGCTGCCTCAGTGTGTGGTTTGAATTCTTTTAGGGTAGAGGAAAAGTGGTAGGTAAGAAGGAGTGTCTCCAAGGGAGATGAAGATAGGAGAGAGGTCCTAAAATCTCAAATTCCTCAACTGGCAACCAGCCCTTCTCACGTGTTTCTAAGAAAGCATGCAGAAGATAGTCTGGAAAGAATCACTCTGTTAATGAGTCTTTGGCCCAATACTCCAGTCTGAAACTTCTAGCACTACTGTGCTATGTAATATACTAGACCACATGTGAAAATGGAAAGCTCCTTTTTCCCACTTGAAGCGTAAACCCTAGACAGACCATTGGCTTTCAGCCTGTATTTATTTAAAGCAACTGAATGTTACCTTTTTTTCCCCTAATGAAATTGTATATTGAAACCCAATATATAAAATATAAAAATAAAGCTGTTGAAAATGTGAGGAAGCCTGCCCTTGTAGTTCCCACTTCTACTCCCAAGGCATATTAGAACAATTTTGAAACTCCTTACTTAGACTAAAAGTTTCTTTGACTTCTTTTCCCTAGGCTCTTACTCTAATCATGTTCTTCAGGGGTTATATCTGTGATGATAGGAAGAGGTAAGAAAAACTGAACCCAAGGAGAAGTATGTCAAGGAAAGAAGAGTTTGGCCTGCTGGAATCTATATTGGTTCTAGCCTAAGCACCCATTCTAGGCTTTTCTGGGATTAAGAAGTAGTCTTTATCCCTTCTTAGTGTCATTAAGAAGCTTTAGGGAAGTATAGCAGTCAGGAAAGGAAAAGAGGTTACGAGAGAGAGGTATCAAAAACTTGGATCGAGAGAAACATGAGACTTCTCAATCCATTGACTCTTGTTCCTAGATCCATGCCCCAATTTCAACCTTGACTTAAGTCCTTTGGGGCTTCAGAAGCATTGCATTTTCCCTGAAGATTGCAGTATCCCACTAATAATTGTTGTGTTCAGCTTCTAAAGAATTGATAAAAGATTGGTGTCCAAATTGGCTATCTTGTTTTCAGATACCCTTAGAATTATGTTAGTACTGTTAAGAAATATATTACTAAAGACTATTGTATTATTTTGAACATGAAAGTGGCAATATTCAAGTGTTCTTACCCAAAAAAATGCCATTACTCATACATTCTTAACTTACAGAAAAATGGTAATTTGATAGATTTAACCTTTAATACATGTCGACCCAGGTAAACTTGAGTGTTTTGAATTAGAATATCATAGATTCTTTTTCTTTTGTGTGTGTGTGTGTGTGTATATATATATATATTTTATTGAAGTATAGTCAGTTTAAATGTGTCAGTTTCTGGTGTACAGCGTAATGCATGATACATGAACATAGATATATTCGTTTTCATATAGATTCTTTTATCCTAGTTTAAGTCAAATTTCTGTTCCTGTGTTTTCAAGTTTCCCCCTTCACACCAGTTCCTTTTGCTTTCTGGCAATGTTATACTTTGCTATTGCCAGAAAAACTGTATGTATGTCAGAATGTGGGGTCCTTTATGGTATCCTTTATGGTATTGGCAAATCTGACTATGCAGAGTGCTTCTCATTTTAGGGGGACATTTGTGAATGGGATAGCCAGTAATAATTTTTGTTCCGAGTAGCTTACTGATGATATTGAATCATTTCTATAGCATGGTAATTAATATGGGGCAGAATTAGAACACAACCTTGCCCCAGGGAATTGTATGTTATTTTGTGGATGTTATTTCTATGAAATAACAAAAACAATTTCTTTATTGTTACTGAATGAGTTAGTTACATATAATGTCTACAGTTGTAGGAAACCTTACACCTAATGACCTGTTACTTTTCATGTATTTCTTAATTGGAAAAATACTCATTCAACAGGAATTTTTCCTTCTGTAAAGCATCTATGAAACAGCAATTTTGATTGATATTTCTCTTTTTTCTTCTTGTTTTTTTTTTTCTATTTTTAGTTACAGCAACCTCAGCAGACTCTTTTAACGCAGGTTAGTTTGGCATTTATTTCTTCTGGATATCTGAGTGAAGAGTAGACCAAAGTTTTATTCCTATTCTAGTTTTTCCTTCAGGGTTTAAAGATGAATATTTGTTGGATTCACATATAGTTTCGCAATATAATTTTAAATAAAGGTGGAAAACGTGTTTTTTGTTTTTTCTTTTATGCTTTTTGATGGCAGATCCCACTGTGGTCTAGTTTGAATAAATGAGATATTTTAAACTTAATACTGATTTTGGCTTTTACTTTTTCTTTGTAGCTAACATTTTTAGGAATTCTTTGGTATATGATTACATCCTTTTTAGCTTGACCTTAGTAGGTGAAGTTACTGTGTTCAGCTTCATTTTTCAGCACCGTTAAAAAGTTTGTGAACTTAAGAGACACAATGCTACTTTAGACTTTGTGGACCATTTACAATCTCTGTTGCATGTTATTTTCCCTTTATACAATTCTTTAAAAGTGTAAAAACCATCCTTGGCTTATAAGTTATATAGAAATCACAAGCTGTGGGCTAGATTTGTTCTGTGGGTCGTGGTTCACTGAACCCTTATTATATATGCTTAGAGTGACATGCAATGCAACTGTTAAAAAGAAAGCAGAACCTCTAATAATAGCTGAGGACAGTGATTATCCCATGGATAGGGAACTGGGTAGCTGAAGAACAGGAGTAAGAGAGACGCTTTTTACGATATAACCTTTTGTATCTTTTTAGTCTTGAATCTTTTTTTAAAAAATAAATTATAATAAATTTATAATAAATTATATCTCAATCTCACTTTCTGTTTTTATTTAAGAACTAAAATTGATTAACCCCTACATCATATTTTCAATCTCCAGTAGTAGCATTTCAAAGCTAAGTAGAAAGGTTAGTCTTTTCTTGGAATAGGATTTCCCAAAATGTGCCCATAAACCATTAGTGTCTTAGGATGTTAAAGAAACTTAATGAGAAACTAGTTGTAGCTATAGTTTAAGAAAAGCTGAGTTCCTTTACTGTACATAAGACTTTGCTTTTTTCCCTCAATTGTAGACCCTAGAGACTTACTTAATGGGGCAGGTGTGTAAAAACGAATTCCATGGTTTGAGTTGAAGAATCAGATAACTGTTTCTTTTTAATGATTTTATTTCTATATATATATATAGTAAATTTTAGTCAATAATATGTTGTTATTCATGCTTGATTGTGCCAGAAAAGACCAATGAAAGTATTACTCCTTTTCCCCAGTTTTATTGAGATATAATTGACATATAACATTGCATTAGTTTAAGGTATACAACGTGATTTGGTAATATGTATATATTGTGAAATGATCTCCACAATAAGTTTAGTTAACATACATCACCTCACATAGGAGAATTTTTTTTTCTTCTGATGAGAACTTTCAAAATCTACTCTCTTAGCAAGTTTCAAATGTATGATACAGTCTTCTTAACTATAGTTATCAGCCCTGTATATTATATCTCCAGTACTTACTTATCTTATAACTGAAAGTTTGTACTTTTGGACCACCTTCACTCATTTCCCCTAATCCATCCCACTCTGGCAGCCACCAATCTGTTTTCTGTTTTTTTTTTTTTTTTTCTGTTTTCTGTTTTTGTAAGTTCTTTGGGTTTTTTAGATTCCACATATAAGTGAGATCATACATATTTGTATTTCTCGATCTGACTTATTTCAGTTACATAGGACTTTCCTGAGTCTTTGTTATTGCCACTATGGATTTTGGATTTCTAAGAAAGGGACAATATGCAGTTTTTTTAAACTCATTGCCTATGGTGACTTTTTTTCCTGAAACAATCTGAAGAAATTAACCTGAGAGAATTTAATCATGAAGCAGATAAAAAATAACATAATTTTTCAGACTTGAGCTTCATCTTCAAGGTGTACACACATATTATCTAACTTCAGTAATTTTAGCATTTTGAGTTAGTTTTAAGTAGTCAGTTTTAATTTCTAGACTATTTCAAGTCATTATCTTAATTTGATGTTGATTTTGTTTTATAGCCAGCTGTTGGATTGCCTACAAGCCTTAGCTTGTCAACTCCTCAACCTGCAGCTCAGATAACTGTATCATATCCAACACCACGGTCCAGTCAGCAACAAACACAACCTCAGAAACAGCGTGTTTTTACAGGGGTGGTTACAAAACTACATGATACATTTGGATTTGTGGATGAAGATGTATTCTTTCAGCTTAGGTAAACTTTATTAGGTGTTGACAGATGCCTTTTGGTATTTCCCATTAAGTATATAGATAAGACACCTGCTTAATTGTGTAATGGAATTGTGGTTTAGCTGTAATTTTCTGCTTTAATCATTCAGCCTGTACCTGTGACATTTTTTGATGGAGAATGTGACTGAAGATATCTTTTGATTATTGAACAGTATCTTTTAATTATTGAAGAAACTCGTTATGGTGAATTCTTTATAAATGTTTTATAGGAGTGTACATTTCTAGTTATTCATGGGCAGACTTTAAGTGAGATTAAGGATTGAAATAGTCAAATGCCTTTTAGAATTTCATCTTCTGTTTGACACATCTAATACTAATATAAACTAAAAATGTTTTAATTGAAAAATTAATGAATAAAATTGATGAACTAATGTATTTGAAATAGTATTTTGTGAATGTGGTAGAGGTTGCAGGAGATACATATTTCCTTGGATCAAATATATTTCTAATGAACTTATTTAGAAGTACTTTGAGCAATTAAAATTTAATTTCTGTGTAAGATTTTTCTGTAAGTGGATCTCCTGTTTTCCCATCTTTTCTGCATTTCTCTCTTCTTTCCAAAGCTCAAAGCAAATCTTACTCTTGGTTTGTAAAAGAAAGTGCTGTAGTGGGAGGAATATGGTATTAGGAGAATAGGGGGATAGAAAATTATTTCTTCCACTTAAAACTGCATTTATATAGCAAGAGTGAAAAATGATCAGTTCTAAAGTAAGTATAAGAGGTATTTCTACTTTTTTTTGTTTTCTTTTTTTTATTGAAGTATGGTCAGTTTGCAGTGTTGTCAGTTTCTGGTGTGCAGCATAATGTTGCAGTCATACATACATATATTCGTTTGTATATTCTTTTTCATTATAGGATACTACAAGATACTGAATATAGTTCCCTGTGCTATACAGAAGAAACTTGCTGTTTATCCATTTTATATCTAGTAGTTAGTATCTGCAAATCTTGAACTTCCAATTTATTCTCAGTTTATCCCTTCTCACCCCTGTCCCCTCCAGTAACCATAAATTTGTTTTCTATGTCTGTGAGTCTTTCTGTTTTGTAAACAAATTCATTGGTGTCCTTTTTTTGGATTCCACACATAAGCAATATTGTACGGTATTTTTCTTTCTCTTTCTGGCCTACTTCACTTAGAATGATAATTTCCAGATCCATCCTTGTTGCTACAAATGGCATTATTTTATTGTTTTTTATGGCTGAATATTCCATTGTATATATATATATATATGTATATATGTATATATATATATACACTACAGCTTTTCAAAAGAGCTTTTTAGGCTTACATTTCAGATATAGTTTACTTTAAAATGCTAAGTATATAAATCTTTTTTGGAGGAATCTCTTCTAATTGTGTTTGTATTTAACTTCATTCTTTTTCAGTGCTGTCAAAGGGAAAACCCCCCAAGTGGGTGACAGAGTACTGGTTGAAGCTACATATAATCCCAATATGCCTTTTAAGTGGAATGCACAAAGAATTCAAACGCTACCAAATCAGGTATATAAAATAGTTAGGTGTTATAAAAACATGGTAATTGAGTCTTCCAATTTACAAAGATTTTTCTTTCTTTTCAAATTTTATTTCTTTATTTTTGTTAAGAATCAATCCCAAACTCAGCCTTTGCTGAAGACTCCTCCTGCTGTACTTCAGCCAATTGCACCACAGACGACGTTTGGTGTTCAGGCTCAGCCCCAGCCCCAGTCACTGCTGCAGGCACAGATTTCAGCAGCTTCTATTACACCACTACTGCAGACTCAGCCACAGCCTTTATTACAGCAGCCACAGCAGAAAGGTATTAACATGCAGTTTATCTTTGCTTTTTATGTTTCAGATTAATACATAACTGTTCAGTTGTTAAAATAATGAGAGTTTGCTTTTAATTACAAACAAGAAAGGGACTTGCAGAATACTTGAAAGGAAGCTTAACTATCTTATATAGGGCACTTATATAGCTATTTGGAAGGATTTTTATTTTATTGCTGTTATTCAAAGACATGCTCTTTGTGAACTTCAAGTAAATATCAAAACTAATAATCCCCTGTCCCCCATTGGTATGTTATCTGTAATAGAAGAAAATGTTTTGGAGACTTATTTCTTACGAACATAACAGCATTTTATATATGTGTAGAATGTTGTGGCAGCACGTTACTCTTTGAATCGTAGTGCTTCAAATAAATGACCTGTGTTAAAAATTTTTGCAAATTGATAATTTGACACTTTGAATGTTTTCATATCAAGACATTGTTTAAAATGGTAGCCTTGACTTTAGGAGAAGCGTACTTAGTTGGTATTTTAAAAAGCTGTAATTGGCATTTTCTTTTATTGTAAATTGACACAAATATAACAAAGTTATAAAAATGGATTGCAGTGTAATGTTATTATGTGAACATCTGTGTAATGACTGCATGGGAGAAAAAATACGTTAACTCTTTTTTAATAGTTTTACTCCAAGTAAACTGCTCATAATATAGTTTAGCTTTGCCTTGTTTTTGAATTTTATGTAATATGTGATTCCATCTGTATGATCTTTTGTAAGACTTGTTCAGTGTTATGTTTTAAAGTTTTTCGTACTGTTCATTCTGTGTGGCTCAGTTTCTTCGTTTTCATTGTTGCTTAATATTCCATTGTGTGAGTATTGTAAAATTTATCTGTTCTTTGGTAAATATTTGGATTGTTTCTAGTTTTTGGTTTCTGCAACCACTGCTGTGGGTTCCTAAAAGAGAACCATTTCCTATATTACCATAATCTACTATCACTTCTAATAAAAAGCATTTAAGTATCCTGTTTATATTCAGACCTCCCCAGTTGTCTCTCAAATGTCTTTTAAGTTTATTTTTTGTTTCCTAAACAAAAAGCCAGTCAAATTTCATGTGTTGTGTTTTGTTACATTTCTTTAGTCTTTTTATTCTAGAATAGTTTCCCAGTTTTTCTTCCTTCCTCTTTGGCATTGACTTTTTAAGAAATTGGTCTAGTTGATTTGTAGATTCTTTTGAAATGTTCTGTTCTGGATCTTTCTTGACTCTTTGTGATATTTTTACTGTGTTCCTCTTTCTGCCATGTATACTATAAACTAGAAGTTAAGTCTGAAGGCTTTTGGCAAGAACACATTATAGGTGATGTTTTGTAATTCATACTGTTTCAAACTAGAGGGCATATGTTGTCAGATTCTTCTATTATTGATGATAAATTTTATTACTTGATGAAAGTGATGGCCATGGATCTCCCCATTGTAAGGGTTCTTTTCCTCTGTGTAGATAACCTCTGAAGGATACCTTAGTGCTCTGTGAATGTCTTGTTGTATAGCAGTCTTTAGTTTAATGTCTGTAGATCAGAGGTTGGCAAACTTCAGCTCTTGGATTTGGTCTCTGTCCTGGTTTTGTATGTTCCCTGAGCTAAAAATGGTATTTACATTTTTAAAGAGTTGTTAAAAAATACACAAATATACAATTGGTCTCTATCATTTGTGGGTCACAAAATCTAAAATGTTAGCCAAATTTTTCTATATAAAATTTAACCAGGTAATCCTTTTGAACTTCGTTTAAATAAGTTAAAATATTTTTTTCTATGTCTTTTAAAGCTGGCTTATTGCAGCCTCCTGTCCGTATAGTTTCACAGCCACAGCCAGCACGAAGGTTAGATCCACCATCCAGATTTTCAGGAAGAAATGACAGAGGGGATCAAGTGCCTAACAGAAAGGATGACCGAAGGTATGTTTTTAAAAGTATACTTTTGATGGTGTTGATGGTTGCACAGTGTGAATGCACTTAATGCCACTGAACCGTTCACTTCAAAATGGTTAAAATGGTAAGTTTATGTTACGTATATTTTACTACAGTTTTCAAAAAAAGTTAAAAAATGTATACTGTGGAATCTTGCTTTTATTACCTGTAATATTTATTTCATTAAAGAACTCTTTGATAATGCCAGAAATAGTAGTAATTTTAGAAAAATTTGCTTTAAGTCGTGAAAGGGAGAGAGAAAGGCGTAGATCCAGAGAAAGATCTCCTCAGAGAAAACGTTCCAGGGAGAGATCTCCTCGAAGAGAGAGAGAACGGTCACCTCGGAGAGTTCGACGTGTTGTTCCACGTTATACAGTTCAGTTTTCAAAGTTTTCTTTAGATTGGTAAGTTCTTGTCTTCCCCATTGTTTTTCTTGAATTGCAGATTTTGTATAATGTGGAGGAATGTGTTATGTATGGAGATATTTTCCTTACAACTTTGATTTCTCGACATTTAGTGCTCTTAGTTATATAAGGGCAGAAATGCAACTTGAAGTACTAGTTTAGTTCTTTGCAAGAGCGCATTATTTTCATACTCTCATTAAAGATACCAACTATAGAAAAAGGCAGCCCCTCTAATGAAGTTGTTCCTTAAAGGTAGAACTAAGATCCAGATTTGTTGATAACCTTATTAAGGTTGTGCATAGTCTAGTGTATATGATGAAGTAATGATACAGTAGTGGACCAGCTATTTCAAGTTAGGTGTGGCAATGTAGTATAATAGAAACATAGACCTACGTATATACTCAGAGACGTGTAGCATATACACAGTTGTGTGTATACGTAAGTACATTTTTGTACTTACGTACCTGAGCCTTTGGAATCAGGTAATGGAAAAGTTACCAAGAATTTCTGAGCTCCGAGTGTGAAATGGAAATTTTATTGACTAGCAGAATTATTGTGATATTATTTGAGTTCATGTATCTAAAGCCCTTAACCCAGCATGTGACAGCTGTAGATACTCAATGGTGGTGGTGGGATGTGGTGGCCAACTAAGTAATGGCTGCAAAGGCGTAATTGATAAAAAGGCAAATTGGTAAATGACTGTTTTACTCTAGGGGAGAGGAAAAATTATCTCATTATATATAAGGTGAATAAACAGATGGAAATAACAAATTGACAGTAAAATAAGAAAAATGAATCATTAAAAGCAGTGTTTAAGCGTTTCTGGTATAGGTTAAAATAACTATGTACTTCAGTGTCCTGAGAGGGTATTGCTGCCTTTCAACAAAGTATGATAATTAATATTCATATTACTGGCTTATCAGAAGTTAAAATTTATATATATTCAGTTCTGTATGGAGTAAACCAGTGTATTATTTAAGCTACTCAGTGGCAAAATCTCACTTGGTGACCTGCTTAATTGTTATGTAGTTGGTGTTTATTTACTCTTGCTTGTGACAGTCCTAATCAGCAACTTTTTAGTTTTTACTAGTTTTTTTGTTATCCCTGTTTACTTGTATGCTTCAAAGTGTCTTGTCTGCATATTTCAGAGAAATTCATTGGAAACAAAACCTCAAAAATATTGACTACTGCCTTTAAACTCATCTGTTCCCAGTCTCAAATGCTATTCTAGGAAGAGTTGATGAATAGGATATAAATCGAACAGCTATCTTTCTCCTTCGAAGTTAAATCTTCACAGTTCCACTTTAAAGTAAATTACCGGAACATCAAATGAACCCATTACAAATAAAAGTGATTTTAAAATTTCCATACCTCTTATCTGTAATTGTGGAAATCAAGATTTTTCTCATAGTAATATGTTTATAAGAGACTGTATGCCAAGAAATGATACATTTGCACTTACCTTTTGTTTTATTATAGATTTTACTCTTCTGGGATAAAACACAACTTCAAAAATTCTGGTGGGGAACTAGGAAACTATTACACATACTTTTTGTTTGTAGCACTTCTTTAAAAACCAAAAATAAAACTCAAATAGCTGTTTTTAACGTTTTTGTTACTCTGGCAGCAGTATTTTGTCCAAATAAGTATAACTGTGTCAACAACCATAACTGATAAGTTTATCATTCTGTATTTCTTATTTTTAGGTTTCAAATTAAAAGACATCCCTATAGATGTATTAGTCATGTTTTGTACTCTTATCTTCAGTTGTCTTTAAAAAGGATAGTTTAGTTATCTTTTCATCTTATAAATTATTGGTGTTTCCCACTTTTCATTATGCTTTTAACAGAAATCTCTTGGCCTTTTACCAATTTGATTTACTTTTGAGTTTTTCTCCTTTAAAAGCCCTGCTTCTTAGGAAATACGAAAATCTTTAAAAAAATTAGTATACTGGATTTAAAAGGCAAAAAAACTTATCCTTTCTTTACATAATAAACAAGCAGGGATGGATCTTAATCATTAACATAGATATGGAGATGTGGATAATCCAAAACATTTGGATTTTGCTTTCATTTGGATTTTTATATTTAATTTTAAATGTAACTCTGCCTGATCTAGGATCTTAACTGCAGAATAAAGGTTGTATTCTTTTCTCCACTGTATAAACCTGATTGAGGAGCACTCATACTAATTTGGTACCACTCTTAACCCTTTTTTGTATCCATTCTATATGAATCATAGTTTTCTCAAAAATGCAGCTTCCACTGAGGCAGAATTGCTTTTGTTCAAATCTTCTCTGAAGCTTGGGTTGAAGTTATTTCAAAGGGTCTTCTAAATGAATTCTAAGCTACGCACAAAAAGTAAATAAAGGTAATACTCATATAGTATTTATTCAAAGCTATAAGTAAACATATTTGAAAGTGACATTTTCCATATGCCTCTATGCAAATCTATAGCTCATTAACAGTTGACTGTTCATTTTCAACTGACTTTTAACCATGTCAGGTTATATAGCTTCTGAATTGAATGAATGTTTGCATAGTTTTTGATATTATGACTACTTATTCACTACTTATGTCTGTTTTTCAGTCCTAGTTGTGACATGATGGAACTAAGGCGCCGTTATCAGAATTTATATATACCTAGTGACTTTTTTGATGCTCAGTTTACATGGGTGGATGCTTTCCCTTTGTCAAGACCATTTCAGCTGGGAAATTACTGCAATTTCTATGTAATGCACAGAGAAGTAGAGTCCTTAGAAAAAAATATGGCTGTTCTTGATCCACCAGATGCTGATCACTTATACAGTGCAAAGGTTTGTATTCTGTGTAATACAGCTAAAATTTCAGAACAGTTATTCATATTAAGAGTGTACTGTGGAGTAATAACTCACTTCAGAAAGTGGTTGTTATGTTTAAGACCTGAATACCTGTGTTTTCTTGTCTGTCTGATTCTGTTTTGGTTAATTAAGTAATTTCATCTAGCCTCTTTTTGCCTTAACTCTTAAGCTGTAAAACTGTGATTATTTTGAACCACATAGAGATGTGACAATGAAATTCATTTTATTAAGCTTTCTGGAATGTTGCATTACTTCTGGGGTGGCCCCAGATAAAATGTAATGTTGGGTGAATGCACTTACATGTTTAGTTTTCAGGTAGCATTCAATATGTTGCTTATGGTCTGTATTTTCCTGCTATTTTAAAACATTGATCAAAAGGATTCCCTGAAAGTTAAAACTATGTAATTATAAGGTATCTAATACCATTTCTGGTATAGCATTTTACTTTCCATTTTTATAAAAAAACTTCAGATATCTAATATGTAAGGATAATTAGTAGTGCTTCTCATTTTTTTACGTTACTTTAGACTTTTGACAGGATTGAATTATTTGACTATAATAGGTAATGCTGATGGCTAGCCCTAGTATGGAAGATTTGTATCATAAGTCATGTGCTCTTGCTGAAGACCCACAAGAACTTCGAGATGGATTTCAACATCCTGCTAGACTTGTTAAGGTAAAATGAAACATTTATTTTAACTTTAGGTGTATACGTTCTTTGCTCAGCTCTGTCCATATATAAAATTAAAAGTACTATGTTTTAAATTTTGTTGATTTGTTTAATAACTAATTTTAATATAGTTAAGGTACTCAGTTTAATAATGTAGATGTTTTTCTCATTGCAGAGAATGTCCAATTGCTTGTCATTAGTTTTGCTTGTCATTTGTTCAACTGCCATTTATATATGAAGCATAGTAAAATCTTAGTGGTATAATGGATTTACTTGGATGCTCTTAAAGTTTGAATTGTAGCTTGTTTCTTTAAAAGAACTTTTTATCTGAGGAAATATTTTAGAAGGATGAGTTATGATGTGTAAATCCTATTCCATTGCTGAAATGCAGTGTGGAACACGATGAACTGAACTCTTCCTTGACTGACAGATACCAGAGGTAGTAAAATGATATTGGAAAAGTTTGTTCCTTTCCTTTTCAAGTATTTTATTTGTAATTTGAAAAGTTGAATAATACATGTAAATGATTTTTTGTTTTAAATTAGTTTTTAGTGGGCATGAAAGGCAAGGATGAAGCCATGGCCATTGGAGGCCACTGGTCTCCTTCGTTGGATGGACCAGACCCAGAGAAAGACCCCTCTGTGTTGATTAAGACTGCTATTCGTTGTTGTAAGGCTCTGACAGGCATTGATCTAAGTGTATGCACACAATGGTAAGTACCAATTCATTTCTTGTTCAGAAATGTTTTTCTAATAGTTTATGTAGATGCTCTTGTCTGTCAGCCTTTTCCCTCCCTTATTTTAGCAATCTTAATCATACAGGTAATCTCAAAGGAAAATCCCCATTTGTAGCAAAAGTTTATTTGGTGCCAAAAATGCTGGGCGGGAAAAGGATTAAGAACTAATGAAAATAAACTGAAAATTTAAATGTTTTGTTATGCTGTACTTTGGAAGTTGGATGTATGTTGAAAATATTTTTCATTTCATGCATAGCTGGAGAAGATCGTCAAGAGAGAACTTCATTTCATTATAATTCTTTTGTTATAAAATGATGTAGTTGCTGATTATTTTTGTTCAGCCATATTTTCTCTTGAGGCTTATTTGTCCTGTGTATTTTAGTATATTTCTTGTGACTTAATTGAGAATATTCTTTTTTAGCACATGAAATCTGAACAGCTATCCAGCTTCTTCAGGTATTCTCTAAATTATGGGTAGCTCTGAAAATGCTTTCGGGAACATACTCTTCTCTTAACCATAAAATATTGTACAAATGTACCAAAAGAGGAACTATGGCTTCTATAATTTTTTTTTCTTTAGACCAACCTCAAGTTCTTGCAGCAAAGTTTCTTTACTTGATGTGCTACAAGTGAACTAGGGTCTTTAAAATGTATTTTAGAATTTTTTTTCCAACATGCTTCTTCCCTTGCAACAGGTACCGTTTTGCAGAGATTCGCTACCATCGCCCTGAGGAGACCCACAAGGGGCGTACAGTTCCAGCTCATGTGGAGACAGTGGTTTTATTTTTCCCGGATGTTTGGCATTGCCTTCCCACCCGCTCAGAGTGGGAAACCCTCTCCCGAGGATACAAGCAGCAGCTGGTCGAGAAGCTTCAGGGTGAACGCAAGGAGGCTGATGGAGAACAGGCACTGAACGCTAATCCCTTTTTCTATTTCCGCTTCTCACAGGCACAGGAACACAGGCACAAATGCACACCACACACTACATAACAAACACACATGGAGGAACATAGCTGGTAACAGCGACTGGTAATCCAGCTTTCAGCAGTATAGTTTTATGTTCTTTTCTCTTAAAAAAAAAATCTGTCTATTATGCTAACTTTAAGAGTGCTGAGACCTCAAAGGAAAATAAGTTGTGCTTAAATTGCACAGAATTTTGTTTTTATCATAGGTCTAGTTGCTGGAATCTGGGACCAGTTGTTGAGCAAGATTCAGTATTAAGCCATTTTAAACATTTTGCCATTTTCTAAAATTTAAAAAATTTTCTCTTTCACGGTCATCCGTTCTAGTCATGGATATTTGAAATTGGACAACCACAAGTCTGAGAGATTTGAAATTTCAGGCTATGTGGCATCGTCTTTGGTACATTTGAAAGGTCTGACTTAATCAGTCTTTGGGTGGCTTGAAAATTGGGGCAAGATCACACACTGTGTGGTTAGTGGAGACCGGCAGTGTTTGTGCATCCCTGATATCCTTTGTGTTGTAATTTATCACCCTTTTGTGTTTCACAGATCTGGCTTTGATTGGCTGATGAGTGTCTTTGTGATCAGTTAAAAGTGGTAGAATGTATGTACGTGGACTTGCCTAAATAATAACTTTAGGAGAAGATAATCTGAAACATTTGTGACCTTGCACAGATCAGCAACAGACTTTTAAAAATAAATTACCTTTATTTTAAGGTTTCAGAATAGTAATTGTATTCTTAACCTTGTATATCAGGATGAAGAAGAGAAGGATGATGGTGAAGCTAAAGAAATTTCCACTCCTACTCATTGGTCAAAACTTGATCCAAAGACAATGAAGGTAACTTTGAAAATAATGGTATTTAATTTGGAATCTCTGAACAGGAATAGAGAATGAGGACAGTTTTTTTTTTTCAGATATAAGCCATTAAAAATGAAGTCCGCTCGTTTTCTATAAGTATTCTGTGTTATATTTGTGTGTTTGTATCTATAAAAATTAAATAAAAGTGACTTCATAAATCAGTTGAGGCAATATCTGTTCAAAGCAAGATGCATATGCTTATGGTCTTTTCTCATTTTGGAACTGACCAAGATGTTATTTCTGCACTTAAGTGACTTAAATTCAAGGAGAGGAATGAAACATAGGAAAAAGATTATCCAGTTTTTAAAAGAAAATTTAAAAGTGAAAAGTGGACTGATATACGTCTAAACTGGGAAGAAAATAATTTAAGAACCTCTTTTGAAAATCTTTGATTAACCTGTACTAATGTTTCTTTGCTCCCCACGGTATCTGGACCTATTTTCTTTCTGTAGTTTTGTACCTCTGGGCCTCTAATGTGAATGTGGATCCACAGATTTTATATACATAAATTCTACATAGATCAGAAGATCAGAAGTTGATCATTATTTGGTTTTGCAACTTTTTATTTAACACTTAAAAGCTGACCTTTTGGTAAACTTTGTTCTCAGCAAAAAACAGATTTTTTTTCGATTTTTATGAAACTACAGTTTCTTAACCCACATTGCTTTTTTAATAAGTAGAAAATGTGTATCATAAGAATGTTTGTTATTCTTGCACTACTCTTAAGTTGTCTTCAGCATCAGGTTTCACATGGAGTCCTGTAGATTCAAAAAATACAGGCAGGATGTGAGGGTGATCTGGCTGAGACATCTGTTACTCCACTGATCACCAGGGTTGATTCAGCTGATCTGGCTGGCTAGGCGGGTGTCCCTTCCTCCGACACCTCTCCTTGTGCATCCCTCCCTAAGCTGTGCACTCAGTCAAAGAGGGTGACCATCCCCCATGGAGTCTGTTCTTCTCAGTCAAGGGTATACCAGTATCTGCACTCCCCTGCTAGACCCTCCAAACAAGCTCTCAAAACATAAAGACAATTAAATTAAGCTTGCATCCCTGGACTTTTGTCAGACTGACAGCTTTGCTATTAAGTTTATTTCAAAACTTGGATTCCTTTTGATTATAGATACAATGCAAGCTTATTTGAAAAATCGGTGCATACATAAAAAATTAAAGGAAAAAGTTTACTCAAGCCTGTCATTCAAAGACAGCCATTCTTAAAAATTCAATGTATTATCTTTCATTATTTTTTCTGGGTACAAGTGATGTGATTGGCTGGTTGGTTCTAATCATTTTGTGTAAATAAGTTGCTGTCTCATTCTTTTCAGTTTATAATAGTATTTCCCATGTAGTTTATTTTTTAATTTTATTTTTTCCATGTAATTATTTTTAAGTGTTCTATATGGTTCCATCTGTTGATATACTGGTTTTTTTCTTAGGTATTACTCTTCTATTGGATATTATATTCTTCACTTTTTTGGAGGGAGAGACTATAACAAGGATTTTTTTTTCTTAAAGTTTATTTTTATTTGTGTTTAGGATATTTCTTTTAGGATAAATTCCCAGAAGTTAGAATCTCTGGGTCAAAGAGCTTTAACTTTTTTCTTAATCATCTTAAAACATGTTTCAAATTATTTTCCAAAAATATTCTCTCAATTTGCTTTTTCACAAGCATTTTATGAGCTGTACAAGTGTCCTTTTCACCAAAAATTTAAAAAATCAGACAATAGATCACTTGTCAGTTTCCTAGTTCAGTATCCTGTTTTCTTTCTCTGTGTTTTATATTCTGTGTATTTAGGTAAATGATCTCCGAAAAGAATTAGAAAGTAGAGCTCTTAGTTCCAAAGGCTTAAAGTCCCAGTTAATAGCCCGATTAACAAAACAGCTTAAAGTAGAAGAGCAAAAAGAAGAACAAAAGGAATTAGAGAAATCTGAAAAAGAAGAGGAAGAGGAGGATGATAGGAAATCTGAAGATGATAAAGAGGTATGTACTGAATTATTTAAATACTGTTAAACATAATAATGGTTTATAGAGAGTTCTTGGAATATGTATGTGTATACTTTTACTAAGGTATAATTTACATAATTGTAAAATTCAACCTTTTAGTGAATAGTTGTATAAGCATTGACACGTGCATATAGTCGTTTAACTCCCACCACAGTCGTGATGTAAAACAGGTCTGTCACCCTCTAAAAATCCGTTGTACCCCTTTGTAAGCATTTTCCTCTCTCACCTGCCTCAGCCTCTGGAAGCCACTGATCTGTTTTCCTACTGTTTTTCTTTTCCTACTGCCTTTCCCAGTATATCATGTAAGTGAAATTATATAACTTTTTGAGTCAAGACCTATTTAACTTAGCATAATGCATTAGAGATTCACCCATTTTGTTGTGTGTTTTTGTAGTTTGTTCATTTTTATTGCTAAATAGTATTCCATAGTATTAATGTATCACAATTTGTCTATTTGTTCTCCACTTGAGAGACATTTATTTCCAAGTCATGTATTTTTAATTCTCCCTCTTAAAAATGAATAATAATCTTTTAGATATAGGAAATGAGAAATTTTGGTTGTCGGAGCCAGTAAGTTCAGAGATTGAGCTCTGAAGTGTTTGAGAATTTTGCTGCTTTAAAGCTTTGTGTTTGATTGCATATCAATTCTTAAGACTTAAAGTCTGTTTATTCAGGCCATTTATACCTCAGTCTTATGCCCAATAGAATAACTCCTGAATGCATAAGCTTGTCATTTGTTTTCTGAATTTGATATACACGGATATCAGAAGTGTGTTATAGTACCAGTAATTAGATAATCCAGCATTATGTGTTTCCTGATGGGATACATTGTGAAGTATAAATCATTATTTATGAAGCATTGCTGCCAAAAGTGTTTTACCTTAATCTGTGAGAAAAGTCTGATCGATTGATTTTTATTGGAGTATAGTTGATATACAATGTTGTGTTTGTTAGTTTCTGGTGTTAGCAGCGTAATGACTCAGTTATACATATATATAGTGTTTTTCATATTCTTTTTCAGTATAGGTTGTTACAAGCTATTGAATATAATTCCATGTGTTCTACAATAGGGCCTTGTTGCTTATCTATTTTGTGTGTAGTAGTTTGTATCTGCTAATCTGAAACTCCTAATTTATCCCCATGCCTTTCCCCTTTGGTAACCATAACTTTGTTTTCTGTGTCTGGGAGTCTGTTTATAAATAAGTTCATTTGTGTAATTATTTTAGATTCCATATATAAGTGATATCATATGACATTTCTCTTTCCCTTTCTGACTTATTTCACTTAGTGTGATAATCTCCGGATCCATCCACGTTGCTGCAAAGGGCATATTTCATTCTTTTTTATGGCTCAGTAGTATTCCATTGTACATGTATACCATAACTTCTTTATCCAATCACAGTCAGATAAATTTAGAATGTAAGAAATTCTGCAAAGCAATTTGTCTGAACTCTTCAGAAAATGTCTGTGTAATGAAAGGAAGAATAATGGTTTAGATTAAAGGAGATAAGTAAGAAATGACAAGTGACATTAGTACTGAGTGAAACTTGACTGGATCCTGGATAGGGGAAAAAAAGCTGTAGAGAGTATTTTTGGGATGATTGGAGAAATTTGGTCATAGATGTGATATTAGATAATATTGAAGCAGCGTTAAGTTTCTTGGATGTGGTAACAATTTTGTAATTGTGTAGGGAAATTATCTTATTCTTAAAGAGATGCATGATTTCTTATTTTACTAAATAGGTTATAAATATTTATCTTGATAGTGAAATTGTCTCAGAGTTGGCCAGCAGGAGGCCTTTCAAGTTGGCTTCTGTGTTCTTTAAAATGTCCTCATCATTTTTTGAGGACTTCTTATTTTGCAGTACAATACAGTGTTTCAGTCTCACTGTGTAGTATCCCTGCCCTAGCTCTGAAATCAGCTGTTTCCCTAGGAAGCCTTGGTACCTTTTGGTGAAGAATGGTAATGGTATTTAGAAGCCAATATGTACTCATTGTTACTGTTGTTGTGCTGCTCCTAACCCCTCTCAGTGAACAGAGTTATGGAATATATATGTATGTGTATGTTGTATACCTACATATGTATATTTGTATCTCTGTTTATTACACTATCTTATGTATATTGAAAGTCATGAGTTTATTAAGATTCCTCATTCTACTCTAACATCAGAAGAGTTCATTTTAGTTTTCTCCCTTTCCATGTATCCAACTCCTTTGTCCAATAATGCAAAACATAGCTTCCATTATACTTTTAATATATTTACTTCCTTTTTCAGTTGTCTATCACACTCCCTCTCCAGTCTGGATATCCTCCTTACTCTGCTTTGGTCTGACTTCCTGCTCTATGCTTTCTCTATGTGGATACCCTCACTGGGATTTCAGTACCTGGTGACTGGGCTGCTCACCTGCTCTGGGCCGTTGTAGCTCACCAGCTTCCGTCACCCCTCTGTAGATACCTGCTTTGCTTGGAGGGATTGCTTTAGAACTGAATTGTTCAGGACAGGAAATATAGAAAAAGAAGGCAAAGTGTCAGTTTTCACTTTTTGATGTGAGTGGCCACTGGTGCTCAAATCCTAGATCTGTTGATTTGTTGGGGTTGAAATGATGATGTTATAATTCTTATTTTGTTTTCACATATTCTCCTCATCTGCTATTTGGTTACCCAGTGGTATAGTGTTACCTATTGGTAAATTCATGTAGAAGAGGACAGTATCAATACTTGATTCTTTTCTTTCTTTTTAAAATAAGGAATGTTTCATGAATTTGAACCATTCTTGTGCAGGGGCCATGCTAATTTTAGTATATGTGCTGCTAAAGCAAAACACTGTTCTTTTTGTTTATCTGGTTTTCAGGATAATGAATTGATTCTCTGCCATTTTCAGAAGGTTACCTGTTTGTTTTTAAACATCATTTTGAATATATGGATTTGAACATTCTTGATGGGTTTCAGTTGTTTGCAATTCTTACCCTATTGAATCTCAAATTGTACCCCCTATTGTTTGCTAGTGGGTGGGAATATATGTACAGAAATACAATACGAATATATTAATAGCACCCCCACCGTTATTGTTCAAATTAGTTTAAATATATTTTTACATTTCCTATACCTGCTTTATCCTCATTTTTTATAGGCCAACAAGAGTCTTAGGGGAAGAGGTAACTAGGTTTATTTACTTACTTATTTTTTAAGTGCAGGTTCTGGGGATTGAACCCAGGACCTTATGCTAGGCAGGCACTCTACCACTGAGCTATCTCCTCCCCCATCCTCATTATTTAAACATGGTGGTCCTATAAATACATTGTTCTAGCATGTGGCGTTACATATTGTATGCTCTTTTAATCATTTAATTTTGGTTATAAAACTGTATGTGTAATGATCACAGCTGGTCCTTTTGTCCTTGTCTCCATAGTTCATCTCTGGTAGATTCCTCAGCGCTCATGGTAGCAGTATTTAAGTTTTTGTATGTTAACAGTTTAACTATATCCTTTATACTTGAAAATCATGAATATAAAATTTGATTCACATTTGTTTTCCTTGAGTGTCTTAAATATGTTGCTTTTTCTTAAGATTTTCTATGAAAAAAGTGCTGATAATGCAGTTTGCTTTCTGATAGTCACTTGCTAGTTTCCTAGATGTACAAATTTCTAATCTCATTAGAAATGTGTTTTGATATTGGTCATTTTGCATTAATATCTTCAGATGCATGGCATGCTTTTTCACTCAGATTCAGATTTATTTTCAGGAAAATTTCTCTTTAACAAAGTTTTTTGGTGTGTTTGGTGGTAAAATATATATAAGTTAAAATTAGCCTTACACCATTTTTTAGTATGTAGTTTATTGGCATTGAACTGCATTCACAATGTTGTGCAGCTGTCACCACTGTACATTTCCAGAACTCTATCCAAACAGTAACTCCATATGTTAAATAATAACTCCCTGCACCTCTCTCCTCTCTTCTTTATGTCTCTATGAATTTCCCTATTCTAGATACTTCCTGTAAGTGGACTGATGCAGTATTTGTACTTTTGTGTTTGTCTTCTCTTGCTTAGTATAACATTTTCAAGTTTCATCCATGTTACAGCATGTATCCAAACTTGATTTCTTTTTAAGGCTGAATAATATTTCATTTTACATATATACCACATTTTATTTATCTGTTCATCTGTTGATGGAACTTTGTTTTCAGCTCTTGACTATTGTGGTTAATAGTGCTATATGAACAAACAAGTTTTCTTTAATAATAGTTTTTAAATTTGTTCTGTTCTCTTTTGTTTTCTTTAAGAAATTCTGATATCTCAGATTGAACTTTTTTGCTTCCTTGGTATTGGTCTCTTTTTCTTAAATCCTTTTCCTCTTCATTTCTTTTTGATTTAAAAAAATTTCCTATTACCTCCTGTTCTCTTAGGGCATGATCTCTTGAGTTCATTTGCTTTTTTATTCCTTCTAATTTATTCTTAAATTTTTGAAACTATCTTTTCTAAACTGTTCCGTAAATTCTGTCACCTCATTTTTTACTTTTAAAATTCTTATTCATGTTGTTCTTTCAAACCTTACAATATTTTCTCAATTTTTTTTTAGCACACTTTAGTAAGTTAAAATTTTTATCTGTTTTTGGCCATGTCTTTCTGGCCCACTTACTGTCTGCAGGGATGTGATTTTTTTGCTCTTTGTTCTTTTTTTAAAAAATAGTAACTTTGTATGGAATTTGACTTCAATACTTTTCTATTGCTTATTTTTATGTGAATATCGTTTGCCTAAGTTTTATTAGAAGATTGCTTCAGATAGCTTTACTGACTTAACAGAGCTTTATGTTCTGTTTCCATGTTCTGTCAAAAAATACGGTGGCTTGCTGAGATTTCCATCTCTGTTGCCCTCTACCACTTTTTATCTGGACCTTCTGTTGTCTCTGTCCTGGTCACTATTAACTCTGCTCCCAGAAGTTTCTTCTTAATGTGGGCCGTGTGCTGGAAGGATGGGCTGGTAAATCAGCTTTGAAAGTTCATAGGGCTAGAATGTCCAGGTCCTTTCAGATCTTAACACTGACCCCTTGTACCCACTGAGTATTGTTGGGGGTAAAACCTTATCCTAGTTTCAGCTGCTGTTCTTAAATTGACCTGCTATGCTTTCCAGTGGATATGCATGTATTATGGTTTTCCAGTTCTTAGATCCTCAGGCAATCTCATTGCTTCCTTTTGCTTTCCCCTGACACAGATGCCAGCAATATATAGATCTTTTGGCTCTTGTGGCTTTTTCCCCACCCACTTGTATATTGGTGTTTGTGGGGTTGCCTTGTCACCTCGTTTTGTCATGAATATATGTGGATTTTGGTTTTGGTGTCTAAATTATTCTGTTTCTTTGAAATGTAAGGATTCAGATAGACCCTAAAACTATGTTACAACCACTGTTTTCCCAGAATCCTCTGATTTATATAAAGTTAATATAGGTTTGTGGTGTTTTTAAATTTTCCTCCTTAGAAGGTGGTTTCTTATGCTCAGACGTCCAAAAGAATTAGGAACCATAAAAGCTGCTATCCTCTTTAGTAAATTTAACCTTTCCTCCCTTCTTTATCTCTTATGGTTGTTACTATCATTGTAAGGAATTAGGGAAATTTTGTCTTTTTTCTTTATATAGTGTACATTTATTGTGTATACATGTTGTATGTGGAGGTTTAACCATTACTTAAAATCTCAAATATATAGGAAGAAGAAAGAAAACGCCAAGAGGAACTGGAACGCCAGCGTCGGGAAAGAAGATACATTTTGCCTGATGAGCCAGCCATTATTGTACATCCAAATTGGGCTGCAAAAAGTGGCAAGTTTGATTGTAGCATCATGTCTTTGAGTGTACTTTTGGACTACAGATTAGAGGATAATAAAGAACATTCTTTTGAGGTAATGTTTTAAGATTGAATTGGGATCCAGATAAGGTCCACACATTTTGATTGGTTAATATCTCTCTTAAATCTCTCTTGAGTGCCTCTTTCATTGTTTCTGGTTTGTTTGTTTTTGTTTTTGTATTTTTCTTACTTTTTTTTTTGAAAAAAACAACTAGATGATTTTTCCGTACAGACTCACTATTACTCTTTGCTAATTGCATTCCTATGTTGTGGTTTAAATGTTCCTCTGGCCTCTCTGTTTCTCATAAATTGACAGTTGGATCTAAAGGTTTAATCAAGTTCAGATTCAATTATTTTTTTCCTGAAGCTACTTCATAAATAGTGGTATGTTCTTTTATCAGGAGACATATGATACCATAATGTCTAATTGCCTCTTTGGAGAATGAGGTAGTACTTTATTATTTACTCTAGAACTAAAATACCATTTAGTGGGATTGAAACTTTTACTTGTGATTGATTTAGATGTAAGATAAAATATTTGATGTTTATCTTTTCAACATAAACCTGTTTCTTTGTACCATTATTTTAGAGCAGCTTTACAACGTATAGTTTGTCATTTTTCGGAACAGTTGAAATGGACTTTTATCCCTAAGTAACTGATTGCTTCATTCTTTAAATAAAACAATGTAAAATATCCTCAAATATTAGTTTTATAAATAGCTTGTGCAAAATTATAATTGTGTTCAGTTATTTATCTTATCAACATATCCCATGTTGTTTTTTTTAATTGAAATATAGTTGATTTACAATGCTGTTTCTCACATTGTTTTATTTGGTAAATATTGGAAAAAATTAGTCATACCTACTTGACCCAAGAGGTCATTGTCCACCAAGTGATAAGATAAAAGTGAAGTAACGTGATTAGATCAGGTCATTTGCAAACAAATATATAGGACTTCTGAGGCAGTTATTAGATGTGAAGTACGTGCTTATTGGTCTTGATATAAAATTCGTTACAAATATTAAAGTATTTAGTTTTTGATAACATTGATAATTTCAGTAAGCCAGTGTCCTTAAACTCTGATTTCATTTTTGTTACCACTTCCCAAAATTTAACTCTTAAAAATGTCTATCATGTAGTAGTCATTCAAGAAATAAATAAATGAAAAAAACAAAACCAGTCTTTGATATTACTTACTGCATATAAAGTATATAGCATATACCTGGTGGATGCTGTAAGAGGATCTCAAATTTATGCTGCTCAGTGGAAACAAAGCAGTTTGAGAAACAGCCCTCTGCTAGCAAAAAGATGATTTATTTTTTCCTCTCCACCTAACATATCCCCTTGGTTAGTTTCCTTTTAATCTGTCATTAGAATGTAACCGTTATTCTGGTGTATGAATTTATAAGAAATTATTCTGTAACTAAAACTTTGGCTTATTTAATATTAATGCTAGATGTATCTTTTGTTTTTCAGTATTTATAGATGAGAAGATATGTAGAATTAATACTGGTCTTTTAGTTACTGCTCTAGGTTTCTTCTAAGTGTGCCACATTTTAATTGCTTTTTTATCTCTGATAGGAAATAGAAAACACTATGAAAAAAGATGATTCTTGCTGTTTACTTACACAGATGGAGATTTTGTTTAGTTTTTACATTAATGGTTAAGAGAAAGAAGAATTTTCAACATCTTAATGGTCATTTTACTAATAATAGATTTCTTTTTATTTAAAATGTATAAAGACTGTGCATTAATTAAAGAAAAATAGATTAAAAGATCAATTACAATTTTAATACATTGTATATTCCTTAATAATCAGGAAAATAGTATGATTAAAGTGTTTTACCAAATATACTAAACACATAGCCAGTGAGGTTTTAGAACTGTGGTCAAGCATTTCAAGTTCTGGACCCTTTAATCTGTTGAAAGCAGTTAGCCTTAGATATATTTATGTGTAAAATTTAGTATATAATTTTAGGTTAATGAATATATTAAAGGTTTTTATCCCCAGATCCTTGCATAGTAATAATAACCTATTCCCTACTCAGAATTTTGAATTTGTTTCCCCTGCCTGGAGTGCTCTTCTGGGTATCTGTATGGCTCATTCTCTTGCTGTCTTCAGGTCACTTTTCAAATGCCACCTGATCGGAGAGGCCTTTTCTGACTACACTGTCTTGTTACTCTCTCTGCTCTTACTCTGCTTGTTTTTCTTATAATTTGATGTTGGTTTGGTTATTCCATACTTTGTCCCACTAGATTGTTAACTCATGAGAGTTGGGATTTTTATCTGCTTTCTTTATTGCTGTATCCCCAATGCCTAGACCAATTCTAGTACATAGTAGGCATTTAATAAAAAACTTGTTGAGTACATTTCATGGTAAATGCACATGATAAAGTACATTTATTGTGAAGATTAATTGTTAAGGTAGTAAAAATCCTTTTTTTCTACTCATTTTCAAATGTTCTGTAGTAGTACAGTTACAGTTTTTTGTAATATTTGACCAAAAACATATACTAAACATAGTATTTGTATCTTCAGAAGATTTTTTGAGGATTTTGAGATTCCTCAGGATCATTGACATCAATTATTGTAATTTTATTCTTAGTGCACATTAATTGTTAGATGTGACAAGTTACTATTTGATAAATTACTATCCTGGATTTATTCAGTATTTCTATTAAAGCTGTCTGGTTTACTGTTGGTATCTTTTTACAGGTTTCATTATTTGCAGAACTTTTCAATGAAATGCTTCAAAGAGATTTTGGTGTCAGGATATACAAATCATTACTGTCCCTTCCTGAGAAAGAGGATAAAAAAGAAAAGGAAAAGAAAAGCAAAAAAGATGAGAGAAAAGATAAAAAAGAAGAAAGAGATGATGAAACTGATGAGCCAAAACCCAAACGGAGAAAATCAGGCGATGATAAAGATAAAAAAGAAGATAGAGATGAAAGGAAGGTCTGTAATTATTTCTTAACTAGCAACCCAGTTTATAAGTTTTTAATTAGTATTCTAGAGTGTATTACATGATGATGAGTTCCATCAGAATAGTGAAATATAAAGGCGAAGCTAAAAGACTTTAGTGGATTATTAGGAATTTAAATCTTTCAATTAAGCTTATATTAGCATCTAAACTAGTTTTGTGGTAGTTTATTTTTTTCTTAAGTCTAAGGTATACAGCATGATGGTTTGATTTACATATATTGTGAGTGGTAGCTTATTCTTAAAGTACGTTATTGTTATAAGAAATTTATAATTAATACTATTTCAAGTAAATTTAGTGGACTTAATGTTTTCTTCTAGTCATTTAATGTTTGGTGAGATCTTGCTTCATCTTAAGACATTTTAAATTGCAGAAAGAAGATAAAAGAAAAGATGATTCTAAAGATGATGATGAAACTGAAGAAGATAATAATCAAGATGAATATGATCCACTGGAAGCAGAAGAAGCTGAGGATGAAGAAGATGGTATGATTCAAATTTATTTATTTCCCCTTGGGATGAAAAATACATTTTTTAATTTGGTGACTTTGTATCACTGAAATCTATAATCTTTAGAATTTTAGAATGGAAACAGTAAAATATTTTCTAGTGAACATATATTAAGTATTACAAATTTTTAGATGAGAGGATTGTTTTAAGAAATGTTTATTTTTGACTATCATATGTTCCATATATAATTAATACTAATTCACCTTGAAGGAAAAAAATTTCCTTGATCATGATGCTTAAACTGTGTCATGAAAGGTGTAATAGTCTACCTTGTTTCATAAAATACAATCTTCATTAGAAAACTAATTTTAGCATTTTTTTTAAATTATGAAGATGGTCACACAAGGAAAAGAGTACATATAACATGTAGGTAGAGTTTAAACACCCATATACCCATCACCCAAGTTTTAAATAACAAACTTTTATCAGTAGTAGTGATATTTAAAATACAGTAGGTAGACAGATAGTTATTGTTGACTAGTCATAGACATCAGCCATAAAGTACCTATACCTGTAAGTCTCCCTGTAGACTTGGAACTTTTTTTTTTAAATCTTTTTCTGAGATGAGAAAATCATAAGAAGTTTTTTTATAGTACATCTTTCAGGATATTACTAGTTAAGGTTTTTTTGTTTGTTTGGTTTTGGTTTTGGTTTTTTTTTACTTAGGTTAGTTTTTTTTGTCCTACATTTTGTTCT